CCCTCTGACATTTTAACTTAGAAAACTGAACTCTATCCTGAGAATGGGGAATTCTTAGATAGCAATGCATTGCAACCACAGTGCATCAGTCAAAGAATCTGAAATTTCTGTTAGGCTTATCTTAGGAACTTACATTGTAACATAGCTAATGTTTTGCCAACTTAACCCAATTTGCCTTTTTTACTGAAGAGGAACAAAAACTAAGAATATACACCACAAAGTGTGAAATACCTTAACTAAAGTACATGTGATATTTCTTAGACCAATAAGAATTTATTATTTTCCAGGAAACTGAGACCCAATCATCAGTTTTAGATTTCATTAATGAAGATGTAAAACAATCTTGCTATAAAATTTAGGAGGCTGACTTCCTCTCTTGCCATGCCAACACTTTGCTATATGTTGTTAATTTTAAGCTACACAATAAAACCCATCACAACTTTACAGTTGGTGGTGATATTTAAAATGGTTAGCTGACATACAGCCTTTGACAATATTTAGCACTTTATGGCAATACATTGACACTAACTTTAGAAACTATAGCATAATAAGATTTTATAGCCAATTAGGTTGATGAGTCACTGTCAGCTTCCTAAACTTCGCTTTTAGATGAATGAGAGAATCAGTTATAGGAAGTGAGGAGCAAGTTGTAGCTGCTGTAAAATCTTAAGTGTCATCATGAGGTTGAAGTGTGAAAGAACTGAAAAATATGTTGTCTAAACAGCCTGAAAAGAAATCAAATGATTAACTTTTTCAGAAATGGTAATAGTGTTCAGTCTTTCGGTTTGTCACCATGTGCTTACACTGATTTACAGGAAGAGTCTTACAGTGTTCATTGATTCACATGCGGCACCAGTTACTGGACAGACTTCTGAACTCTCACTTTAAAAGAAAATAAACATGTACAAAGTTGAATATATTTAATCAACAGTCAAAATAATTGGAGTTTATAACTAGAAAATGAATAGTTTGAATAGTGAAAATTTAAATATTTTTCCTTAATAAGATGATGTGTATTTGTTTGTGCATTTAGACCTATTACATATAAAGTTGAATTTTTAATTTTTTTGGTAGGGACAGGGTCTCACTACACTTTCTAGGTTGGTCTTGAACTCCTGGCATCAAGCAATCCTTCCACCTCAGCATTTCAAAATGTTGGGATTACAGCCAGGAGTCACCACATCAGGCTGTTTATTTTTTAAGAAATGCTGAGAAAGAGCATATCTATTAAATTGGAACATGTCAATTATACTTTATTGGTAAATGTTGTATATAAATGAATCCAATTATTGAATGCTGATGAGTATGTTTATAGATAGAGAGGTTGCATTGGTATTAAAATAAAGTTATATAAAAAATAAAATAAAAAGATAATGTAGTAAATTGAAGTTGCACTGGCATTAAAATAAAATTATATTAAATCAAGATTATTTTAGAATAGAGTAAGTTTAAAACAATAAAGCATTCATACATGTGTAGCTGCTACATGAATTCCATGTGTTGTAAAAAATTTCCAAATCCCTTAATGCTCTTGTGGTCACTGCTTCATTTGAAGCCATTTGGCTTAGGCATTTTCTGCCAGTTCTGTGTCCACTGTCCACCCTTCACCCTGCAGCAATAGAAACATGGAAATCCTCCCTTTTCTTTAAAGCCAACAAAATTAGATTACAAACCAATAATATTTACAGAAGAGGTGTGTGAAGGGTGTGTGTGTGTGTGTGTGTGTGTGTGTGTGTCTGCAGCACAGGGATTTATAGAGCAGCAATACAAACAACCTGGAATGTTAGATTTCCCTCTGCCATTATTTTACCTTGGGCTCAAGCCTTTCTCTCTGTTGCTACATCTATCTTCCTTTCTCTCCCCTCTGTATCTTTTTCTTCCTACTGTTTTCTATTTTCTGTTTCCACCCTCTCAGGAGGAAGACATTCAGTTCCTTACACTTCCTTATTTACAGAACATCTGTGTCTTTCTGGCTTCTACTCTTGTCATCAGCCCTAGGCCTCCCTGTGTGTCTAAGGACATGATGGAAGCTTTGAAATGCATAAATATTGGGAATTGTGTTCTTTGACTCTTCATCTAGTGAGAAAAGGGAAAGAATTTGATTATATTTTCTTCTGGTTGTGCATATCATGAAAGAATTATTTTTATTGTCATACTTCAATGGCATATATTGCTATAGTGGTATTTTTGAGGATTGCTCTATGCAAGAGCAGGATTTTCCAAAAGCTGGTGCACGGACTTGGCTAGTTGTACCAGAATTTCTGGGGGAGTTGTGGAAATGACAGATCCTTTATGTCCCAGGTAGGGAGATTCTGACCCAGCAAGTCTGGGATGGTGCTGAGAAATCTGTACTTAAGGAGAAAACCAAGTATGGAAACAACCAGTCTGAACCTCTTGTCTTCATTTTCTGTTACCAAGTTCAGCGATGCAAAACACAGGGATATCCATCGAGAGCTAGGGACTGATCTTAAAAGTCATTATTCACTTCTATCTGAAATTTCCTCATCACTTGCCTTTTTTTTCATAAGCAACCTTCCTGGTTTCCCCATATTTTGGTCCTAGGTCCTGAGAAACTCCTCAGTCCTGGACTAACAAGAGTGGATAGTCACCAGACAGGAATCTACAAGGAAATAACATCATCTATTTGGTTGCTGCAGCCACCCTTCAGTATTTATTTATGAATTCTCTACTTTGTGGTTAAAACCAAGGGAGAGAAATTTTAGGCAGATGTGGAAAGTGTTGTTTTCACAGGAAGCTTGATGAGAGATTCTGGGAATGAGCAGTGTTGTCCTAAGACTCAGGAGACAAAGGTATAACCTAAAGATAGGAAGAGAACATTGTCCTCATGTCTTGCGAATCTTAGCTTAGATCATGCAGCTCAGGTAGGTTGAAGGAGACAATATACCTTTTGAGAATTAGCCTTCCCTGTCTCTGTGCTTATAAACCTGCAAAACTTTCAGTAGGATATTTCAGGGAATCCCCTACAGAGTTAGCCTTGTTTTCCATATATTGTTGGACATGCAAGCAGCAGACTCTGTAGAGATGTGGCAGGTCTTTGGAAATACAGTTAGATGGCAAGAAAGGTTTAGAAAACGGATTTTCTAAAAAACTAACTTCCAAAATGATTACTATAAATTAATCTAATGTTCTGTACTCTATAGCCAACCTTTCGTAGTCTAAGTTATAGTTCTAGACTGTAGAAATTTTAGTAGTTGACAAAATTGATGATAAGCAGATTCTAAGGTTGGGGATAAAGAAGCTCAGCCTTGGAGAATAAACAGTTCAGACGTGAGAAAATCAGAAAAGCCATGTCAAACAGGGAGGAACTGAATTCAGCCTCATGACAGACTAGAGAGACCAGTATACCAACCAAGATCATCTAAAGAACAGAGTGTCACAAGTGATTAAGACCAGAAGAAAATCAAAAACAATAATTGGATGAATAAAAATAAATAAACTGACCACTATTTTTGTTTAGAAAAAAACCACTGGTTTTTCAGAGTGCAAATATCCAAATATAAACCATTTAAATTCAACTCTGTAAGTGTGTAGGTTATATGCATTGGTGTTAAGAAAACAAATATTTGTTGAATTTAAATTAAGTTTATTCAAGGTTAGTAACATCCTTGGAAAGTTTAAAATGCTTGCTTTTGGCCGGGCACGGTGGCTCAAGCCTGTAATCCCAGCACTTTGAGAGGCCGAGGTGGGTGGATCACACGAGGTCAAGAGATCAAGACCATCCTGGTCAACATGGTGAAACCCCATCTCTACTAAAAATACAAAAAATTAGCTGGGCATGGTGGTGCGTGCCTGTAATCCCAGCTACTCAGGAGGCTGAGGCAAGAGAATTGCCTGAACCCAGGAGGCGGAGGTTGCCGTGAGCCGAGATCGCGCCATTGCACTCCAGCCTGGGTAACAAGAGCGAAACTCCGTCTCAAAAAAAAAAAGTAAATGAAATAAAATCAAATCAAATGCTTGCTTTTGGTCTAAGTGTTACCAGTTGTGTAGGGTTGGTGAGGGATGTAGAAATGATAAGAGATCATTTTTTGCTCCCTTAATAAACTCAGGATGTCCCTTCCATAATTTTTTCTTGCATGCCCAACATTCTTGCCATCTACCACATATTACTGGGGATTGAGAGAATATTGGACTTGCAGTCTGAGACATGCAAATGCTTCCCAAATCTGCCCTGTGTACCCCATGTGATGATAATCTCCATGAGTCTTGGTTTCCTCATTTTCAAAATGAGAATGTTGGATCATAGTTGATCTCTCATTCATAGTCCATTTAAAATATATTACTATTCCATATTAAATTATAAACACCAACCTAAAGGTAATCTCCACTGCCAATTATCAGCCCTAAATATGCCCAAACACGGGTACATTTATTCTGAGTGACATTCATTTTGAGGTATCTGCATGTTTTTAATAGAAATTCTAAATAGAAAACTGAGTTCAAAAAGAAAACAAATTGAATGATTATTATAAAGATAACCAGGGTCGCTTAAGGGAGTATTGTCATAAAATAGTTACAAAAACTCTCCCAAATAGAGCACATTCAAAACTAGAACTGATTTGGGGAGTAGCAAAAGATCTTACTTTGGCCACTAATTAAATGACACTCCTAGAGTTGAGATAGATGGCCAGAATGACATATTACACATTTTACTTAAAAGATCAAGCCACTACCAAAATGTTATGTAATTGCTAGAATGTACACTATAATAGGACTCAATAAGGTGGAAATAAAGATAATGAAACTATACTTCTTTTACTTTATTTCTTTTTGTTGCTAATGAAATAGTTATACTCTTTCTGAATAAACTCAATATCCAGCTTAAAAACCTGACTCAGTAACTATAGAATTAATCAGAAGTGAAATCAAATAGTTGTGTCTCATTAAGTGTTCCTCAAATGATGGAAATCTTAGTTCTAATGCCATCTGTTATTGGAATCTAATGTCAACTGATGGTTTCTTTAAATTTTTTTATTTTGCAGGACTGGAGCGAATTGCTCGGGATTCATCGTATGAACAGGAAGGAAAAGTCCAATTTGTAATTGATGCGGTATATTCCATGGCTTATGCCCTACACAATATGCACAAAGATCTCTGCCCTGGATACATTGGCCTTTGTCCACGAATGAGTACCATTGATGGGAAAGAGCTACTTGGTTATATTCGGGCTGTAAATTTTAATGGTAAGTTACAACGTGTGTGTGTGTTTCTAAATACTTTAAAAGTGATAGGGTGTGTTTTTGCTCCTAAATATAGAAGATACCCAGGCAGAGTGGAAAACACAGGATTAGAAGCAGTTCTCTCTTTGATCAGAAGTGTGAGTTTTTCCACCTGCTTTTACATCTCAAACTTATTTTTATGCTACCATTAATCTATGCGTTAAGGAAGCAAAAGTTTAAAATAAGCTTCTATAAATCAAAATATTCTACCTAAACATCATTATTGAAGAGATAACTTAGAAGGCTTATTTGAAACCACTGATAATAGATTAGATTTCTTTGAAAATGTTTAGTTCTTGCCGTTATTAGAGAAGAGATTGTAGACATTTTGTTTTGAAACCGATTTTAAGCTTTTGAAACAGTAAGTTGACTTGAAGAAAATGGATTATTTGGAGTTGCTATCTATTTATACTCAAATAATATTAAGTTTCTGTGTCTTCTGTTTTCTTGTATTTTTCTCAATGACTCAGTCATTTGGAAGCAAAGGGATGCAAAGAAAGCAAAGTGGCCTAATGTAGATGGGGTTTTTCTACTGTAAAAGCAGCAATGTTTCTGTGACTGTCACAAGAAACTGACACAGAATATACTTGATTCATAGTATTTTGATTGAGAATAGCCCAACCTCCTGTCTGGAGTGATGGAATTATTGAATGCTGCTATTCTTTCATGAAAGTTGCAAAGGTTGTTGCCCTGACTTTGACCATTATTTTCAAATGAAATGATAGAATGCTCAGAGCTGTCTAATTCTTTTGGCTTGGCTGTAATCCACACAATGGACATGCCTTCGAGCCACGCACAGCACTGCAATGTCTATCATAACACACTCCAGTGACCTCAGCTGCCAGTGTTTCTCAGAAAAGCACAAGGTCATCTTCAATTTAGAATTCAAGTGGAAACTTCTTCTTTTTTCCTTTTTTGCGTTTTGCCTTTAAAGGAAACCTAAGACAGAATTTGGTTTAAATTCAAAACAGAGTATCCTTGTCTGTTGCAGAATATTTGTGAAACATTGCATAACATTCATCTTTTTATTGGGAATATGAACACTAACGGAAGCTTAAAAATAATTTTCATGCAATTATGAAATTGAGCAAAGGAGGAATGTTGCAATACAAGGTTGTTTACCATAACTCGAGGTTGGGGAACACTTCCTTTATCTAATATTATTAGTTAAGATGTGGGAAGAATAATGCAGATGAGTGAAGTTTCCATAGAACTGAAGCTCACTTCCAGAAGACAGGGAAGTCTTTTAAAGAAGCACTACAGATAAAGCATTTTAAAGGTGGATTACTAATTTGTCTTTTATCTTAACCATAGATCAAAACTAACCCTCCCTTGATGACTTCAATTGTTATACCATACTATAATATAATGATACTATTAAAGACTGTTAAAGAATGTCTTAACATAACTCTAGACTCCAATGATCTTTGAGTTCTGTCCACTTTTTATAGTGCTTTTTTTTTAATATTATCAAAGTGTTGCTCATGCTGTTCCTGTGCTTGTTTTAGGACACGTGCTGATGATGCATTACTGAGGAAACTAGACAAAACATTCATGGCATTTAGAGTTTCCTGGAGAGTTTAGGTATTAATCAAATAAGCACACAGAAATAGAATTATATAATCTGCAATGAGTGCTGACAAGGGAGATATTCTGCATTTAGAGTTTATAATAGTGAAAATTTCCCTAATGTAGGGATTTAGGAACTGATTAAATCTGAAGGGAATAGGTATCTGAGATAAGGGTAAAGCAGTAGGCAGGGCCATGTAGACCATGATGAGGTCTTATAGGCCATTATTAAGATTTGTTCTTCATCTTGAAAGCAACAAGAACCTATTGAAGCATAATAGAACTGTGTCTGATAAGGGTACGTATTTCCCAGATGAGGGTTATGGAAAACAAATAAATTTCAGTGTAAGAACTTAAAAGAGAATCTCTTTGAGCTCTTTGGATTGATTTTGCAGAGCTTGAGACTTGGTTGTATTCCAGTAGCTGATAATACAGGATAAGAGACCTGAAGATAAACTAATGATCACAGAATACATAATTCTGTTGATTTTCAGTAATTTCCAGGATTTTAATCACATCACTTTTTAATTTTATTATTGACTTACCGATTAATGTTCATACTGCTATGATAAAAATGACACATAGGGCTGTTCAAATAGAAGTACACCATCAAAACTACTAACGGAGGAAGAAGCACACACAGTAAGCAGAATAAAGATGAAATCATTAACTTTTGAGCTTCTTAAGCAGTTGAAGTTTAAAGGGACTGGCACTGTGATTTATAATTTTCATTATATGATAGAAGCATGCCTACCTATTTTTCAAGAGAGAATGGATTTTCTTGGAAATGATTTCCAAAAGAAAGGTGTCATATGGGACTTTGACAGCCAAATGAGCAATGTTAGTTAACATTTTAAAGCAAAAGCAGAAGCCTACTCTGGCTGCTTTGCATATGGGCCCACAATCAAAGTTAAGAAATGTAACTCTTATAACACTGAAAGTATATTTCGTTAAAGATGTTTTCAAGGAGCAGGAAGATAATTATCCTTGATTTAGATTTATGACTCTTTTGAGCCCTGATGATACGGGGATGTACCATACTCTGAAGATAAATGAAGAGCATCTCTCTTATACTCTAGTTTTAAGATTCTACATTCAAAAATATCCTATTCAGAAATCTAACATTTCAATCTGTTAAAATAAAAACTGTTGGCTTGAAGGGGTTGGCATAGCCCTGGGCAGTCCACTTCCCTAGTCTTGCTTACTGGTCTTGGAAGCACCTTGAAGAATCCCAGCGACCCTAGGAGGCACATGTAAGATCTGCAGACTTACATACATATCCTTGCTCTTCACAGGGATTTAATAGCAGCTAGAAGTAGGCTTTCGGAGCTTGTTTTAGTTGTTAGGAACCTGAAAAAAAGCCATGTTATGTTGTTAGTTGGAATCCAGTTGAGTTAGTTATGTTGGTGATAGCCAGTGTTCTCACCTGGTGGGACAGCGGACCCACTTCCCTAACACCAAAAGTGCCAGGAAGCCATTGGCCTAAGCAAGGTTTGCTCAGAACCAATTTTGAATTTTCTGAAGAACCCAGATGTGCTGGACTCAAACCAAAGGCTGCTTATTATACATGACAACAAAAAATGTTATGTATTAGAAGGTTTTTAGCACAGCTATTGCCAGTTGTCAAAGAATGAGCTTTATAAGGCAACTGCCAAGTTGGTACATTGTGGCCTTCTAGATTTTCTGCCAAGATTAGTGAGCTACAAAATGTACTCTCAAATAATTTAAAAAATTGACCCATTCAATGGAATTACTTAGTAATCCCATTTAAAATGGAATAGTTGGTATTCAAAGGGTAATTTTTGTGTAGATAAAATTGCTGTTAAATTCGTTCTTTTTGACATAATTAGGTATCAGGACACATTTCTTTTTATGTTCCCTTTTAGTCTGAGATAGTAAAACCATGTTATCGGTGTGGAGGAAGATTCTGATTCCAGTTTATAAGAGCAGGGAGTGAGGCAGCCAGAGCCCTGGATTCTCATCAGACCATTGGTACCAAATTGAGGAGAATTGTTCGTTAAAATGTAACCTGCTCACATTGTAACCAGGTGTGTGGTATGCATACTTAAGCAATGATTTAAAGATATGTGATTTAAGAGATTGTACTTCTTCCAGTGTATCATTTAATTAACAAAGCAAAGAATATATTAGAATTTAGAGTGACAAACAACTAGTATTTCATGCCAGAATTATTTCATGAAAAATAACTAAAGCTGGAATATAACTGCTGAACTGTAGAGTACTAATTGGCATCAAAGACATAAGCTACAATGGTGGTTTAATTGCATGTAATCACTGAAACTGATTTTTTAAAATCACTGAAAAAATGTACCTGAACCATCTTCTGCATCTGTATTTTAAGCATTCTGAATCATAGTGTATCCAAAATTACTCATGTTTCCCTTACAAATTTTCTTAACATCTTCTCTCTACTTGGGAAGCCAGAGGGAAACAAAGACTTTCCTTTTAGGGTTACTTTTATTGCTGCTATCTGAACAAGATGTTCTTTCTATAATTTTTAAACCCTAAGATCTATCAAAAAATATAAAGGAAATGAGTTCAGATATGTTAGAAACTTGTCAGTTTCTTACTCCAGACTGGTCTATAGGCAATAAAATATTAATTCTGTACATCTTGTATAGAATAAAAGATTTTTCTGTTGCTATGAGAGCCGTATTTGTCATAGAGAAAGTGTTGAATAGAATTTCAGAGCTATCTCCCCACTCCTTTGCCCTATAGGTGAACTCATGTCAGGGCAGGTCAAGCACAGTGGCATATTAGTCGAAATTGTTTGATTGTATGTAATCAACCAACTTGAGGAACCAACTAAAACTTGCTTAATTAAGCTAAAATGAAGAATTTGTGAAGGTGCATCAGGAAACCCCATAGCAGAATAGAAATGAGTCTAAAGAAAGAACTGGTCCTAAGAAATAAAAACAAGCATCTCTGTCTGTCTGTCTTTCTGTCTGCTTTATCTGTTTCTCTTTATATTGATTTTTTTCTTCTAGGCTCACGGGGTAGCAGAAGGTCTACATTTCTAGGGTTTAGCTATTCTTTGTTTAAGACACCTGTTAGAACTAACATATTTTAAAGTCTCAATTTCAACTTCTTGGAAGATTGAATTTCATTAGCCAAACTTAGGTTGTAGTTAGTTCTGTTCCGGATTATCAGCGTACAGGAGGAAGTAGTACAAACTTGGTTGTCATGGATAGATAAAGAGGACATTTAGAAACTTTCTGTAAGTACCTTACAGGGAAAGTTTAAGCAGGGAGGTGGAAACCTGAGAGAGTGGTGATTCCTATGTATCTGAGTTTCATTGCTGCTTTAGGTGGATGAGTTTTTGCTAGTCTGAGAGAGACAGGAATCAGGTAGAATCTGTGATAAGTGGAGAGAAG